GTACATGAAAATAAATTACACAGCCAGTGACACGTGGTTCTTTCCTGGCTTTTCAAGCATTTTATTTTATCAGAATACACTGGGACTATATACTGAAGAGACTTATTCGTATTATGCACCTTGCAAATACTGAAGGTGGCAGATTTAGGTAGGTGTCATTTGAGATTTTCAGCACAAACCCCCTAACAGAGACAGATAAACAAGTTCAACTATGGGATAAACTGAGTACTTCTGATCAAGTAAAAAAAGTGAAATAGATTGTATGAGAGAACTCCTGAGTCTTTTGTCAAGGCTGATTCTAGATTTCATTAGACAACATCTCTGATTTAAAAGCAGAGGCAATGGGCACCAAATGAAACACAAGAGATTCTCTCTGAACATCAGGAAACACATTTTCACTGTGAGGGTGACCAAGCACTGGCATGGGTTGCCTAAGGAGTTTTTGGAGTGTCCATCCTTGGAAATATTAAAAATAAATTTGGACACAATTCTGAGCAATTGGTTCAGGGTGGCTCTGCTTGCACATGGTGAGTTGGACAAGATGACTTCTAGAAGCCACTTCCAGCCTCGACATTTTTGTATTTCTTTGATTCTATGAACACTGTTCCAGTTAATACCCTTAATATTTTTTATGTTTTCTTTACAAGTACAGGAGTTGGGAAGGGGTTTTTTGGGTAAGAAGGAAAGTTGAGGCTAATAAGTACAATTCTCTGGCAAAATACCTGGCAAGAGCAGGATTCTGTCTGATGCACAAGGCTGCAGGAGGCTCCAAACAATGCTTTGATGGTTTCACTAAATTATAGATCTCTGCTCTCCAAGACAAAATGAAACAGTGCTTTCACAATTAAGTGTATCTGTATTGTATCCAGATCTCTAGCAAATGAAATCACTCTCTCTGCTCTGGCAGCTTCTCCCTGTTTGTTCATATTCCCTGCTTCCCTTTGGTTGTACATCTTCATTTCTACAACTACTGGAGAAAAAAACAGGGTGGAGGAGGGCAGAGATTGTGCATCCTTCAGCAGGGGACTTAAAAACTGCTGGTGGTATTCAAGAGCTCACCAGAGATGACAATTTTGAACAATCTATATAGCTTCCTACTTTCACAGAAGAGCAGTTGGAGGTTAGCAAAAGTGAATTTGTTGGGTAATTGCAATAAAGTTACATTTACTTGCCAAAGATGGAAGTTACCAAATGTGGCAGAGTTTAGTGCGATCCCAAAGACACACAAGATGTGTCATTTTGTTGGTGTGGCATTCCCTCTGTCTGCAACAATTTGCACCGCAGAAGCAGCTTGTTCAAATTCTTTCTGAATTATTTTTCTTTTAAAGCTGGCAGGAAAGTGTTTAGATTTTTCTTTTAATACATGTATCAGAGAACAGAATAGAAATGAATACCCAGCTGGTGTAGTGTGAATTTGCCAATCGAGCATGACTGTATCACTCACTTTAAACTAGCTAGAGATGCTTCCAGACAGATAGCACTGCTCAGATGTGGCTTTTCTAGATAAAAAATGGCATGTCATTCATCCCAGGAGTCAAAAAATTACAACAACAACAAAAAGCCAAAACCAAATCCCATAAGGTTTACTTACAATCTATCTGGACTTGTTAAAAGCTTTCATTCTAAGGGCAAATCATGTCTGACAAATTTGGTGTCCTTCCACAATGGAGCAGTGGTGGATAAGGGAATAGCAACTGGCATCACCTATCTGGACTTACGCAAAGCATTTGACACTGTCCTGCACAACATCCTTGTCACTACATTGGAGAGACATATTCTGATGGATGGACCCCTCAGGGGATAAGAAATTGTCTGGGTTGTCACATCCAAAGGGTTGCAGGCACTGGCTCGATGTCCAGTTGGAGTCCAGTGACGAGTGATGTTTTCAGGGGTTGGTGTTGGGACTGGCGCTGTTTAGCATCTTGGTTGGTGACAAGGACAGGGGGATTGAGAGCACCCTTGCCGATGGCACCAAGCTTTGTGGTGAGCATGACACACTGCGGGGAAGGCATTCCATTCACACTGACCTGGACAGGCTTCAGAGGTGGACCTGTGTGAACCTCATGAAGCTCAATGAGGCAAAGCACCTGGACTGGGGCAATCCCAAGCACAAATTCAGGAAGAGAATGGATTGAGAACAGCCCTGGGGAGGAGGATTTGGGGGTGTTGGTTGATGAGAAGCTCAGCCTGAGCCAGCAATGTACACTTGCAGCCCAGAAAGCCAAACATGTTCTGGGCTGCATCAAAATCAGTGTGGCCAGCAGATCGAGGGAGGTGATGCTCCTTCTCTACTCCATTCCTCTGAGATCCCACCTGGAATACTGTGGCCAGCTCTGGGGTCTCCAGGATAAGAAGGACGTCACCTTGTTGGAGCAAGCACAGAAAAGAGACACAGAGATGATCAGAGGGTTGCAGCACCTCTTCTATGATGATGGGCTGAGAGAGTTAGAGTTGCTCAGCCTGGAGAAGAGAAGGAAGACCTTATAGCAGCCTTGCAGGATCTGAAGGGGGCTTAAAGAAAGATGAAGAGGGTCTTGTTACAAGGGTTTATATGGATAGGACAAGGGGCAGCAACTTTAAACTGCAAAAGCACATGGATGTCCCATCCCTGGAAGTGTTCAAGGCCAAGCTGGATGGGTCTTTGAGCCACCAGGTCTAGTGGAAGGTGTCCCTGCCCAAGGCAGGAAGGTTGGAACTAGATGGTAATTAATAGAAAGGAGGTTCAGAATATACCAAAAAGATGATTACATAATCTTGAGAATTGGAATAAAATAAATGGAATGAAATGCAACAATGGAAAAGATACAGTCATGCACTTAGACTTATAAAATATTATTATTATGGGCTGTAAAGACAAATACAAGGAGTAGCCTGTATTTGTCACTCACAGCATGACATGACCCATCAGTGAGATTCAGTCATATAAAAAGCAGACTGGTTGTATTAGAAAAGGTAATTTTGGAAGAAATGAGGAGAGACTACCTCCATTGCAGAGACTGGCAATAGTTTGTGAAAAGCTATTACAAACTGCAGCTATGCTGAAGAGAGCTGAATCCAAACTTTATCTAGTGCACTAAAATCTGAGTTACAGAGGCTCTGTCTTACAGGAGACTAATAAAATGTACTGATAGGTTAGACCAGCAAAGAGTGGCTATGACTGCTGCCTATAAATGTATTACAGATTTAGATGCAAGGGAAAGAGAAATGACTGGCTGGAACACTGGATGGCACAAGGACAAATGAGTATGAACTGGTCTTGGACATGTTTGAGATGAGGGCTGTTCTGGTCCAGCCCTTCAGCAAGAGGTACAGGAAAACAGCATATTTATTGTAAGATGGATCTAGATGTGTTTATGGAAGGAGTTATACAGAGCATTTGCTCCTACAACAGGAAAATACTACCTTCAAAACATCTGTGCCAGTGCCATGACCCAGAGATCCCAAAGGTTTGTCTGCTTAACAAACCAGACAGCAGTATGCAAACCTAGAGAGCTTTGAGCATCTTGGCCAGTGTACTTCAGCAGCCCAGCTTCATCAGAACCAGTTCCATTTGAGCTACTGTGCCCCACCTTATGGAGGAGCAGAACTCTTCGCACATCTAGCATCACCAAGTAATCACAGAAGAACATTTTCTTGGCAGATGCAGTCAGTGCTGAACCCCTATGTCAAAAAGAAATTGCTCTCTCAGTCTTAGTAATACAGGACTTTGTCTTCATTGCTATTTAAACAATCACAGTGCCTCCCCAAAGCTTAATCCTGGATTTATGGCCAATAAATCAAATTACTCAAAGGTCTCCTCACACAAGAGCTATACCTTCATGCAAGCCAGATCTCCTCACACAAGTTCTACACCTTGCAGCCCATCAGCAGTGTGTAGTGGCAGAGAGATCAAGGAAAGAGGCATGTTTTGCTCCTGAAAAACAAATGGTTTGCACAGTGGATTAAAAAACACTCATGAAACGTGAACAACTGAGACAGGAAAAAAATCTCATTGAATGTAAAGCATCGTCTTGTGTTTTCACTATGAGAAAAACAGTCACTGGGCTGTCAATCTACAGCTTTCAGCCACACAGAAACATGCTGAGCATCTGCACTCAAGATATGTGCCTGGTACCTTCTACGTGTCCAGTGCTTCTGACCTCTGAAGTGTCTCCATCTAAAGGACTGGAAAACATGTAGGTAGTAAAAGCACTCTTTTACAAAACTCACTGCCTTCACCCTAAACATATTAATTTACGTGGACCGGTACAAATGCTCCCGCTATAAATGCCGGGCTTCCGTTCAGTAAAAATTAAACACGACCCTTACAATTAATAGAAGAGATGGTCTGTCTCTGCTTTCTTTCCTAAGCCCACTCACGCCGGCTTATTAGTGAATAATCAAAAACCATCCCGGACAGTGACAAACGCTGTGCCAGCGGTCCTCCTTCCTCGACGCCCCTGGGAACGCTCTCTGCTCCATTCACCCAGGGGTGCCATCCCCGCACGCCTGTCGCCTGTGCCCGCAGCCGCCCCGGGACCCTCACCCTCTCCCCGCGGGGGCGGCCCCGCCGAGAGGGCGGGCGCTGCCGCCGCCGCTCGCCCTGCCCGCCGAGCGAGGAGAAGCCCCTCACCTCCCCTCCGGTCCCGGGGGAGGGGGCTGCCATCACGTGTGCTTCCTCCCCCTTCTCTCTCTCTCTCTCTCTCCCTCCTCCTCCTCCTCCCCCTCCGCGGCGGCGGCGGCGGCAGCAGCAGCCTCTCGGCTCCGCTCCCTTTGTTGCAGGCGGAGCGGCGGCGCTGCCGGGCGCCGCGCACAAAGGAGCGCGGCCGGGGCGAGGCGGCACCGCGGGCGGACGGGCGCGGACGGAGCGCGGCCCCGGCGGGCACAGCCCTGCCCGCGCCCGGGCGGCGGCGGCGGCAGCAGCGGGTCCGTGCGGCCGCTGCGGCGGGGATGCTGAAGGTGCGCTCCGGCGCGGCGGAGAAAGGAGGGTCCCGCCCGGGCGGCGCCGCGGGCTCCGGTTGATGCTGCGGGCCTGCCGCCGCCATCCCGCTGCCGCCGGCGCTGCTCCTCGGCCGCCCCTCGCCATGCTGGGAGAGAGCCCGGCCGCCGCCCGGCCGCTCCTGCGGGCGGGACCCCCGCTGGCGCTCTGCTACACCTCGGCCCTCCTGGTGCTCGCCCTCTCCGCGCTGCCCGCCGGCCGCGCCTCTCATCCCTTGCCCGGCTCAGAGTGCCAGGGCGGCGGCAAGGGGAAAGGCATCAACTGCTCAGGTAATGCCCCGCCGGCTCCCGCCCCGCGCCCACCCCTGCGGGCAGCCCACGCGTGCACGTGGAGGGAGGGCTGAGCGCGGCCCCCCTGCTCCGCCCGGCCCGGCCCGGCGTGCCGCTGCGGGCGGCGGAAAACAAAGGAGCGGCGCCCGCCCCGGCCCCGGGTGCGGAGAGCCGGCTCTCCGGCCGGCGGGGAGATGCCCCTCTCCGGGGCGCGGGGAGCCCCCTCTCCGAGGTCTTCCCGCTGAAGGGAAGGGCTCTGCCGCCGCCTCTCGGCTTTTGTTGCTCCCCGCTGCCTCCCGCCGCGGTGCCGGCAGGTGCGCGCCGGCCGTCCCGGGGGCTGCCCGCATCCCGCCCCCTCCTCCGCCGTCCTCCCCCGCCCCGTGCCCGTCCTGCCGCTAGCAGAGGGTGCGAGCCGTGAGAGCAGCCCCTGATGGCTCACACGGGCTGTTTCTTGCGTCTCACTCTAGATGTGAGCAGCCCAGACCCGGGGTAACCTCTCTGCCCGTCCGTCTGCCGGCTGTTGTATAGATCCACTCTGGACGAGGTGAAGGCAGCAAAATACCCCGTGATGTGCTCAGAATAAGCTTTTTTTGGGTTCTTCCCTGCTTTGGTTGCATGGTTTATGTATAATATACATAATTACATGCTGGTATTATAAGATTGCAATGTGGTTTGGCATGATAGCAGCGCGTTTTGTTAGATTTTGAGGGATATGATAGTTATGAAGTAGAACAAAGTAAATACATACAATATAAAGTTTACACGGTTTGAGAAAGATTTGCCTGTCTTCTAAAACTACTATTTAAAAAAGGGATTTTTTTTTTCTCTGAAAAATGGCTGTGCATGCCTCCTTATGCCTTTTAAAATGATAGGTTTATTCCACTGCACGAATAGCCAGCGAGAGCTGTGCAAAGTGCCTTCTCCAAGGTGATGAAGGTTTCTCGCCCTGTGCGCAAACCCCCACCCCCCACCCCCCGTTCCCATTGTCTTCAGAGTGATTGGAAGGCAATTTACGCGTTGGAAGGAACTGTCGGTACCTTCCAGGGTTAGGTCCCCAAACTGTAGCAGAGGTTTCAAGAAATGAGTGAACGGAAGAGTGATCTTCCTCCCAATTACATTTTACAATACGGATAATGCTGCTAAAGCAGGCTATCAAATTCGCAGACCAGCAAACTGTGGCAAAATGGTCTTGCAATATAATAAGTCTGCTACACATTCTTGAAATGCTCCTCTTCATTTTGCCCAGTTTAGATATACGCTGTGTTAGTGTGTGATACCACAATGCTACTGTTTTGCTGCTGCTGCTGCCTGACTTTTCATTCTATTTGTACGAATATGATGGTTATTTTTAAAGAGAGGTTAATAGGTTAATGTGTCACTGGCGTTAGCGGCTTACCCATCAGAGACATGTGGGTCATTAAACCATGGCATGAACATAAATCAGTGAGATTAAATATGGAAGGCTGCTGAAATGTATGAAATGAGGAAGTTTCTAAGATGATGTGGAGCACAGGGATATCATTATTTAGAAACCGTCACAGAAACAGGGCTTTCCAGCCTGGAATTAGGAAACCTTATGCTATATTGAAGGCATTCAGCATGGTTTGGTTCTGCTAAAAATAGGCACGAGCAAATGTAGGTGCTGTATACATACTTGTGGCAGCCACTCTTTTCCGGGTAATTACAAAAATATGGAAGGAAAAAATTGTTTTAAATGCAGTAGTCGGATTCTGCAGTCAGTGTGTTAACTGTTTCATGCAAAATGGCAGGGTTTCGGCACTCAACTTTATTTTGAAAGAACTGACATCAACACACAATATCTGGGTCAGATTTTCCCCTCACTTACCTTTGCACAGCTTCATTAACTTTTACTGAGGGAGCTACTCCCTGAAAAAGATGAGTTTCCTGTATTTACGCATGGGGCCAGATGTTGGCATTAGCACCCTTCTCAGTGGACTGCTACCACGTACATTGCTGTGTATACTGAAAGTTAAACTTGAGAATGTTACTACTACTTCAAATGAGTAGACTCTAAATTGCTTTCCATATTCAAAGAAGCAAAATGTTTCTTCTTTCTTCTGCTGGTTTGCAAGTTTAATAAGTGTGTTGTTCTGACCTGCTGCCTTAACAGGTTTTTTGCACTTCTTGAGATGGTTCCGGGGCTGGTAACATTTTATCATTGTTAGATTATATATCTACCTTTATTTGTTATTTCTTTTCAGAAATGCTGAAGTCCTCTCCTTTATTGCTGCAGAATATGCTGCTAAAGAAAGTGTTTGCTGTAACAAAAGAAGGTTGCAAGGTGGAGGACACAGGCAGACAACATGAACATTAAGATGGCTTTTCCAGCCTTGATTCTACTCCTTTGGCACATGCATTGCAGCTTGGCCCTTTGTTAAATTATAATTGCATCATCCCTGGCCAAGGGAAGAACATTTGATAAAGTGATTAGAGCAGGAAACAGAGAATTAAGACGTATCTGGAGTTAATTGACAATGTGGATTTGCGCAAGTTTGTTCATCTGTCAATCCATACTTTGCTAAGCTAATGAAATAAAATAATCTTGTTTTACCCAGAATTAAAAACAAACAACAACAACAACAACAACAAAAGCTATTTCTTTTTGGAGAAGAGAGTCCCCTAGGCTAGTGTTTTAGACATGTTATATTATTCCCTGCACTACCTGTAGTCTTCTTTAGTAATATTGCCAGTAGTCCCTGACTGTCTGTGTGCTGGTGGTGTGATGCTGTGCTCAGGCTCTGGGGTAGCTGTGTCCTTAGTGAGGTGTCTGTGAACTACAGGGGGTTATTGAGCATCCTGTGTGTGGAGGTAAGTACAACACATAGCTCCTTCCTGAGCTCCTAATCTGATGGTGCTCTCTGGAGACACAAACTGGGCATCGTCAGCTTCGGTTTTAGTCTGGTTGGAACTCAGGTGTGAGATATGCTCTGGTCACCTGTGGAGCCACAGGGGTTGTACTTGGATCATAACTGACCAAATGCTGCAGATTTAGGTGGAAGGTACACAGACTCAGTGTGAGATATTGCTGAGAGCTCTGGTGTGGATGTGTACACCTGGGATTTTAATTAACAGGTATATGCTTGTGTTGTAAGCCTTTCCAGGTGCTGTTCCCTTATGTGAAAAAGCAGTCTTGCTAGTGCGCTGCCCCTGATTTTCTGAAGATCTCTCTGAGTGAAAAGGTTAAAGATAAAGTTGTTTCAAGATAGTTTATTGAGGATTGAATGAGCAAGATGAGATCCTGTTTAAGTGCAAATATAGCGCATTTGTTTTCATTACTTTCTTAGATGCCTTTGTGTCTGTCCTCCAGACCCTGTAGCAGGAATCCCCCAGGCTTACTATTGCTAGACACCCATTGCTGTTGTAGCTGTTTTTCCTTAGGTTAAAATGGGGTATAAAGCTACTCATATCTGGTATGTCTACACTTAAGGTAAAGCCTGAAGAGAATTAGTGAGTTGGCCAAAGTGAGTTTTATGTGCACTATTCCTCACTCCAAACTATTGTGTTGCCTGAAGCTTGGATCCAGGCTGTCCCTGCTGTAACAAGGGAGAGTGAACACAAGCATGTAGCTCCCTTGGCCCAGTCCACGTGACAGATGTGACCGTGGATTTTGGAGGGTATAAACCTCAGGCACTGCTGGTCTCTGGAGCTCAGCCGTGGCTTCTGCCTGGGCTCAGTGGGGGCTCTGTGAACCAGAATGAGATGTGGCCTCAAGACTGGCTTTCATCTGTGCTTATCAGCTAGAACAGACATACCCTTTGTGCTTTTTGCTCAAATTAAGTGGATGAGGGGTTTTGTTTGGTATATCATTCTAAGTTACACAGAGCAAAACTAATTTGTGCTAAAGATATGCAGCCATGTTGGTGAGAACATTAAGAGCAAGTGATGTAAGAGGCATACAGGTTCAGGTAAATCACTGTATTTTAAGAATTACATGTTGTTTTGTGTTTGCATAGTTACACTTGATCTGAAATGGTAGACGGGACTAGAATAATTGGTTATTTTATCTAAGATACTATGAGTTATGTTCCTGTAAATGAATTATAACAGTCAAGCCAAATAAAATGTGATGTGTGTTTGTGCCGATTGAACTTCTGAAGTAAATGATCTAAACTCAGTCAGGTGACATGTCACTTTGAGAAACTATCATAAGACATGAATATAAATCAACTATAAGCAAAAAGTAAAAACAATTATTAAAAAGAGAAATTAAAACTCGGACGCGAGCATGCATATATTTGTTTCCCTTTAGTGTAATTGCCTAGACATGAAATGTCCTTGCAGTACAGATTCTTTTGCTGATTAAAGAGCCAAATGGTAATTAAAGTAGAATTGAAAGTGTCAGAATAGCAGAAAATCATCTTGTAACAGGTGTCACTCCATCATCGTCACTAGTGGGAACTGGTAGTGTGATGGAGCAATTGAGGCTTGACTGAGGGGATTGGATTGAATCCAATTTTCTTATTGGTTTTTTGAAAAGAGGAAAAAAGAACCTGTGTTTGTTGTGGAAAATACTGCTTAGGAAACACTCTGTACCAAGATCTCTCTGGTAATTCCTATTAAGGGGAAAACAAAGAGTCTGGTCCTTTTCTTCCTGTTGATGTAAGAATAAATATTTTATATCTTGTCAGTTTTCTTCTAGGGTTGACAGTAGACTGGATAAAGGAGAGAGTTAATATTTACTTGGACTTGGAAAAAAGGAAGCTGTGGCCAAGGACTTTGAGTAGAGAGGTACAAATGCAGAGAATCCCACTGATATTGACAGGAGTCTGTACCCTTTTCCTCTAAAGAGATCATTACATTCCACCATTGATCCATCATCTGAAAGCACTTGTGACTTTTCCAGCCTGCGGTCAGACTTTGGCCAGGGTCCAGACAGTGGCAATAGTTCCCAGGATAACAGTAGCTGTAGCATTTGTGGAAGGAAGAATGCTGAACATCAGGAATGTTGGAAAAGGGTCTATTCTTCTGACTCGAGGCTC